TTGAACCGGGATCCAGGGCTGTCCTTGGACAGGGAGCAGATGCCAAAGCTCCTCCTCTCCAGGGGTTTTTCCTCCTGGATTTTATTAATTTTTTGGAAGAGCTTTTCCTCATGGTTAGGTGAGGGTGACCCAAATCCCCTTTGGGATTTTTGCATTCTCCCAGTGTTTTTTTAGGATTGGGATGTGGATAATGCATGAGGAGGATGCCCTAAAGGCTGGGCTTGCATCCCCCTCTGCTGGGATTGGCATTGGGTTCCTTCCCTCTGCCCTTTGTTGGGAAAGGACATTGAATCCTTTCTGCCCGCTGTAGGAGTTCCCTCCTTTCCAAGGGTGAATCCACATGGAAGGGGATTCCTTTGGGAACCCTCAGCCTGTGGGCAGCCATTGGGATTTGCTTCCCATCATTCCATTTTAAAAGATGTCCCACTGCCTCCTGCCTGGGAGGACAAAGGGACCATTGGGATGCCCTGGGATGGAGCCTGGGATAGAGCTGGGATGGAGCAGGGATGGAGCTGGGATGGAGCAGGGATGGAGTAGGGATGGAGCAGGGATGGAGCAGGGATGGAGCAGGGATGGAGCAGGGATGGAGCAGGGATGGAGCAGGGATGGAGCAGGGATGGAGCTGGGATGGATACAGGGATGGAGCCGGGATGGAGCTGGGATGGAGCAGGGATGGAGCTGGGATGGAGCAGGGATGGAGCAGGGATGGAGCAGGGATGGAGCAGGGATGGAGCAGGGATGGAGCAGGGATGGAGCAGGGATGGAGCAGGGATGGAGCCAGGATGGAGCTGGGATGGAGCCAGGATGGAGCTGGGATGGAGCCAGGATGGAGCTGGGATGGAGCCAGGATGGAGCCGGGATGGAGCAGGGATGGAGCTGGGATGGAGCAGGGATGGAGCTGGGATGGAGCAGGGATGGAGTCATTCCTCTATCCAAGTGCCATCAGGACAGGGCTCGGTGCCACCCTCAGCTCCGTGGGAGAGCTGGGAGGTCTGGCAATGGGTCTCTGGCAAAACCCTGGGAATAAAGTCTTTTCTTCTCCTAAACAGGATCTCTTCCCCATTCTCTCATGGATGTTCTTGCCCAAACCCATCCCAGCTTTTCAGCTCCACGTTCCCGTTCTCCTGGACCCATCCAGAAAATTGCTTTGTTTTCCTTTTTCCCACTCTTTATGAATCCCTTGGATGTGGCTTGCTGGGAAATGTCTCTCTGAGCCTTTGTGTCCCACAGTTGTGGAGAAGCAACTGCACATTATTCCAATTCCTCTTTTTTCCATGGTTTTACCTCCATCTGACACCTTCTTTCCTCACCAGGTTCCCTCACCTGCATCTCCATCTGCAATTGGAAAAGTCATTCCCAGGCTTCCAATGAGTTCCTTTTCCCATCCTTTTTCTCTGGACTGAAGGGATGATTTCTCAGCAGGAAGGTTTTTTCTGTGCATCCTGCTAGAAACTGGGATGCCTCATTTTCCACAACTCCAGGCAGGCCTCTGGAACATCAGGCCAGGCCTGTTGGATTCACAGGCAGCAGGATTTGTTTATCCAGAGGTTTCCTGGAGCTTTTGTGGTGCTGTTGTCTGGTTTGTGCCTGGAATCTGTTTGGGATACCTCTGGTCTGAGTTTTAACTTCGCAAAATAAACATTTTCCTTGGGCTTCCCTCGGCTAAGGAAGAGCTCAGGAAGTCACTCCAGGGCAGTTCATGGATTGGACTCCATCATCTTAAAGGCTTTCCCAACCTAAATGGTTCCACCAAGTCCCATTCCACAGATTTAGAATTATTTCCCTTAATGCCCAAGCAGGGATTTTCCAAGGAGCTGTCAGAGGCCCCGTGCTCCTTCAAAGGGAACAAATTGGAATTTTTATGGACTATTCTCAGGGAACGTGTCTGGAGTTTTGTTTCTGGCACTTTTTATTGGAAGTTAAAGCATTTCCAAGAGCCAGGAGGGTTTTTTTCCCCCTCAGCCACACAAACTAAGTTTAAATCATCCTGCTCTGCTCGTGTTTGCTGCATCCCGTAAATCCCAGCCCTTCCCAACAGCTCCAGGTTTTATCCTGATGATCTGATAATGCTCCAAGTCCTTTCCTGTTGTCAGGGAGCCTGAAAACAAGTGGAGACTCTGGAAAAACAAAGTTGTCTTTTCCCAAATAATCGCTCCCAGCAAAGGGGAGAGAGGGAGGAACATCCTCAGGAGGGGCTGAGGGAACAGGACAGGGGCAGGACACAGGGAATGGCTTCCAGAGGGCAGGGATAAACGGGATACTGGGGAGGAATTCCTCCCTGGGAGGGTGGGGAAGGGCTGGAATGGAATTCCCACAGAGGCTGTGGCTGCCCCTGGATCCCTGGAAGTGCCCAAGGGCAGGTTGGAGCACCCTGGGATAGTGGAAGGTGTCCCTGCCCATGGCACTGGGTGGTCCTTAAGGTCCAAATCCAAACCATTCCATGGCTCCATTGATCCTGCAAGAGCACAATCCCGTTTAATGACAGTTGGAGTGAATGCACACGGGTTTTTGAACTTGGAAACGTATTTAAATGCTGTTCGGAATAATTTTTTGTGTCTTCTTTGGGAACGAGAGGCTGAAAGGTGCTGTGGTTGTCCTTTCCTGGTCCCCATGAGGTCTCTTTCCCTGGGATTGTGATTCCAGCCCTGCTGCTCCTGTCAGCTTCCATCTTTTCCTTGGATAAACACATCCTAACGGGAGCTTTTACAGGGAATTTTTACAGCCATATAAAACCCCATCAAATTGCCTGGATTTATTTGCCTGCAGACTGTGCCGAGCACGGCAGCTCCAAAATCTTCAGTCCCTGGGTTGTTGTTCCCATTCCAGCCTTGTTGTTTCCCACTGATTTTCTCCAATGCAGCTTTTTGTCCTTGCTGTATTTTAAACTCCCCTCATTAGGAATTTTTGACTTCTGCCTTCAGAGCCACTCTGGGAAAACCCATCCATGGGGCTGCTTCCAGAGGCTCAGCTTCTCTTTCCAGCCTGAGCTGTTTAATTGGTCAGGCAAGTATTGAAATGGGATTTTTTATTTGGATATCAAATCCTTTTTAAAGGATGTATTGTTTTTCCCCTCACAAATGCTTCCTATTTGAATTCAGATATTATTTCCTTTTGCTCCCTTCCCACCTGCTTCCCTGGCACTGGGATTAGTCAGGATATGTCAATATTTGAGGGAATAAATCACTGCTGGCTCCAGCCTCTGTTTGGGTTTCTGACTCATCTTGGGGTCAAATGAGCTCAGCAAATGTGGGAGAGATTCCGGAGGGGCTGGAGCTGCTCCACACTGGCTCCCACTCTCCGAGTGCTCATTGCTGGGGTTTACTGGTTGTTACTGGTTTCCAGACTGGGCTTTCTGGAGTCTTTATCCCAGGAAGTAGCTCTGGATGTCCCCAGGCTGTCAGTGCAGGGATTGGTTGGGGTTAAATCTGGGATTTCAGAGAGTTTTCCCATTTGAGGGGGAAGGCTGAGCCTGAGCTGAGCCCGAGCCCTGAGTGCCACCAGCAGCAAAGATGTGACATCTCTGCTGCCCTCCAGGAGCGTTGGGTGCCCACTGGGAAATCTCTGTTATCCCACTGGGAAATCTCTGTTATCCCACTGGGAAATCTGTGTTATCCCACTGGGAAATCTCTGTTATCCCATTGGGAAATCTCTGTTATCCCACTGGGAAATCTGTGTTATCCCACTGGGAAATCTTGTTATCCCACTGGGAAATCTCTGTTATCCCACTGGGAAATCTCTGTTATCCCACTGGGAAATCTCTGTTATCCCACTGGGAAATCTCTGTTATCCCAGCAGGAAATCTCTGTTATCCCACTGTGTTTACTCTACTTGGAACCATGTCCATCCCACTTGGAAACCAATGTCCATCTCTTGGAAATCCAAGTCCACTCCACTTGGAAATGTGTCCATCCCACCTGGAATCCTGTGTCCATCCCACCTGGAATCTCATGTTTGCTCTGCTTGGAAACGCTGTGTTCGCTCCCTTGGAAACCTGAGCTCTTCCACTTGGAAACCCACATGGCCTGCACCTGGAGCCCTGTGTCCATCCCACTGGGAAACCAAACCCATCCACTGGGAAACCAAACCCATCCAATGGGAAACCAAACCCATCCCACTGGGAAACCAAACCCATCCAATGGGAAACCAAACCCATCCAATGGGAAACCCCTGTTCCAAACTCCCCTCCCTCTTGGAGCCCCATGTCCCACCCCCATCACTCATGTCTCCCCAGCTTTGCAGTGCTGGTGGTGCCTGGAAGTTCCACCTGGGCTTTGCCAGGAATTTCTCTCAGGAATCCTCCCAAAATAAACTGAAGAGGAACAAAATGATGGAGGAAATCTTTCCTCATTTCCCTGTGTGTTTTTAATTCTTCCTATTTTCCAAGCAGTGGCAGAGAGAGGAATTAAGGGGATATTGGATTTGTAATGCCAGGAGAGCGTTCCCATGGCATGGATGGGCTGAGACCACCCAAAACCAGGGAATTGTATGAAGTTTTAGTAGGAGCTTAAGGCCAATGTGTGTCTGTCAGAGCTTGGACTGTCTGGAATGACTCCAGGAGCTTTTGAGCTTCCCCTCCAAACAGCTTTTCCTTCCTCTCTTCCCTCTTTTATCCCTCTTCCCCTTATTTCCCGTAAGGAGAGCACAATGATTAAACAAATTATTAAACCTGGATGGATTTCTGTGGGTATTTCTGTGGATACTTATTTGGATATTTATTTGGATATTTATTTGGATATTAATGTGGATATTTCTGTGGGTATTTCTGTGGATACTTACTTGGATATTTATTTGGATATTAATGTGGATATTTCTGTGGGTATTTCTGTGGATATTTATTTGGATATTTATTTGGATATTTATTTGGATACTAATGTGGGTATTTCTGTGGATTTTTATTTGGATATTTATGTGGATATTTTCCCCTGACCTGCAGCCTTTGGCTGTTTCCCCTCCCTGTGCCAGTTGAGAATGGGTGTTGAATCTGTGGGAAATATTCCCTAATTCCTCTCTTTTTTTTCCCCAAAGGTGTTTACAAAATATGGGAAATGCTACATGTTTAACTCAGGAGAGGAGGGGCGGCCTCTCCTCACCACAGTGAAGGGGGGAACAGGGAATGGCCTGGAAATCATGCTGGACATCCAGCAGGATGAGTATCTGCCCATCTGGGGAGAAACAGGTAAGAGCTTCTTCTTCTTCGGTTTTTCCTTGGAAAAAGCATCCCATCCCATCCCATGCCATCCCATGCCATGCCATCCCATGCCATCCCATGCCATCCCATGCCATCCCATCCCATCCCATCCCATCCCATCCCATCCCATCCCATCCCATCCCAGTCTAACCAGCTCTGACAGCAGGAGCCTGCTCAGTCCAGGTTATGTCACTTTTCTTCCCGGGGTTTCTGGTGGCCCTTGGGACGAGCATTTTGGGGAGTGCTGGGCTTGGGTGTCCCAGCCCCAAAGTTTGGGATGCCAGGAAGGAATGGCACTGCCTGTCCTGGGAGAGGGTGGCATTTGTGGGTGACAGGAGCGTGGGGACGCCTTTAGAGGCTCCAGCCCACCCCTCTCCCCTGGAAAGGCATTTCTGGGAGGCTGTGCTGGGCTCCAGCTGCTCTCTGGGTTTTCCTTCTCCTGCAATTTGTGAATATTTGCTGCCTGAAGAGTTGTGTTTGCTGGGCTGGTGCTGTCTGGGAGGACCAAGGACTGGGTCCCTCGACTTTGGAGCATTTGGGATGGATGGAATCTGTCTAGGAATGAGCCCAGCCGGGCTGAGCGTCTCCAGAGGAGCTGGAGCCCTTTGGTCCTGGAGCAGGAGGTGCTGAGCAGGAGAGCTGGGCTGTGGGATGTCCCCCAGGTGCCATGGATTGGGATGCAGCTCCTGGAGTGGGTGTGGAGTTGCTGGGAGCACTGGTGCCAGATCCTTTCATGAACCTGCTGCACAAACAGTGGGCAGGAGGGTGGGGGACAGGATGGGGACAGGGCCACCAGGGCCACCTGCACACAGCTGCCCTTAACAGTGCCCAGCAGTGGTGGCTGCAGCTTTCCTGAACCCTGAAGTGCCTCAGGAAATTTGAAACAAAGCATCCAAAAAAAAATGCTGGAAAACTTTGCCAGGAGCTGTGTTTGTGTGGCAGAGCCCTGCAGGGAGACTCACCCAGGATGAGCTGTGGTCATTTTGGGGATCAGGGAAGGGTGAGGAGGAAATCTGTCTCCAGGTCGGTGTCACCGTGGCTCTGTCACCCCCTGCAGCACCTCTCAAACTCTGCTCAGAGCAGAGAGGGGATTTGGCTCCGTTTGTTCCTAATTCCCTTTTCTTTGAGTGGTGTTTGACTCCTCCAAACACATCCCTGGGGGCCCGTCAGTCACTCCAAGCTGCACAGGCTTTTAGAGAAGCTTTGCTCCCAGATTTCAGAACCTCTCCTCTCCTCTCCTCTCCTCTCCGAACCTCTCCGAACCTCTCCGAACCTCTCCTCTCCTCTCCGAACCTCTCCGAACCTCTCCGAACCTCTCCGAACCTCTCCGAACCTCTCCTCTCCTGCAATCCCAACTGGAATCTCTGCTGCTTGAGTTGATGTTGTCGTGGCAACGCCTCAGCTCTGCCGAGGGGAGGGAGTTGATTATTTCCAAATATTTGCATGATAATTTCCATGTGTTTGGATCTGGGCTCTCCACGGGGAAGCTTTGCCAGGGCCGAGGGGCTGGAAGGGAATTCCAGCCCTGGAGGTGGACAGGGGATGGGATTGTGGTGTTCCAGGAGTGTGGGCAGAGGGAGATCCGTGGGATGGAAGGAGTTGGGTTTTTCCTTCCCTCTGAGCTCCTGTCTCCGTTGTCACTGGGAGGGTGGCACAGGTTTCCAGGAGGGAGTGGGTGCCCTGGATCCCTGGCAGTGCCCAAGGCCAGGCTGGACATTGGGAGCAGCTGGGACAGCGGGAGGTGTCCCTGCCATGGCAGGGCTGGCACTGGACAATCCTCAAGGTCCCTTCCAGTCCCTAAAACCCTGGGATTCTCCAGCAGGAGGCAGGAATAGGAGCAGTTTCCCAGCCATGCCGAGGGGCCTGGCTGCTGGGAAAGCAGATGAAATTCCTGCAGCAAACAACCCTCAGGATTCCCATTTTCTTTATTATTATTTTAAAATTCTGGCTGTTCAAGTGCCCAGACTGAACCCAGAGGATTCTCCAAGATGTGCTGAGTGCACCAGAATGGGCTGAAGATTCCTTAGAGCAGCTCTGGGCCAGCTTCCAGCTCATCCCAGAGACCAGAGGGACTGATGGACAAAAGATGGGAATGTTTTCCCATGACCTCCCTCACTGCCTGCTCTGGAAACCCCCTGTAGGAAATCCCAGGCTCCTGCCCTCTCCCAGCTGCCAAACCTGGCTAAAAAATCCCCTCTTTGGCTCAGAAATCCAAAAGCAGCTATAAATGAACATCCCCCTCTTTATTAAATCCAAACAATATTTGGATTTTAAGGAAAATATCTCTCCCAGCAATGCCACTCATCCCACACCACCAATCCCAGGGGCAATCCAAGCCTGGAGCAGCTCCTATAAATCCCTGGGCACATTAGCAGCAGCTCCTGCTCCATCACAACAGAGCCAAAGTTGCTTTTCAAGCCCTGCCTTGGCTCTCCCCAGCTCCAGGAGAATTCCAGAGGCCCTAGAGAGCAATTCCCAAAACCTGGAGTTCGTGGAGTTTGTGACAACCTCCAAGACCCAAACCCTGAGTAACCTTTGAGCTGCTCCCTGGGGTTTGGGGCTGCTCAATCAAACATTAATTAATTTGTTGTGGCAGAACAATCTGGGGACTGCTCTGGCCACCAGGGGCTGCAGGCAGGTGGCAAATGTGGACCTGTTTCCCTGGGAATGCTGATTCCGAGAATTCTGGCTAATTAATTCAGGGAATCCTGGCTAATTCAGGGAATCCTGGCTATTCTGGGGAATTCTGGCTCTCCCCAGGAAGAGGGTCAGGACACAGCACATTTTAGGTGACACCAAGCAGCCCCCTAAAGGTCCCCCTGCCCTGGGTGAGCTGATCCAAGGGCAGATTTTCCTATTCCATAAAAACCAAAGACTTCTCCTGGCCTGAGCCCCTCTGGGTTATTCCTGCTCCAGGCCCCTTTGCCTTTCTGGGCCCCATTTATTCCCATTTTCAGCAGGATGAACAGCCCTGAGCCCCTGAGTTTGGGGGGATTTTCCCAGTTATTGCTGCCTGGGAATGCCCAGCCCCTCCAGGATGCAGGAATTTCCCTGTGCAGCCCTGGCTTTTCCCAGCTGATTTTTAACCAAAACGACTTCTCTGGGAATTCCATCCCAGCCCCTCCCCACCCTCCCAACCAGGAATTCCTGCCCAATATCCCATCCATCCGTGGATGACACTGGCAGCCATTCCCTGGCTCCTGGCCCTCCATCCCTTGTCCCCAGTCCCTCTCCAGCTCTCCTGGAGCCCCTTTAGGCCCTGGAAGTTCCCCTGGAATTTCTCCTCTCTGGAATTGTCCAAATTTTGTTCAACCAAAGGCTGTGAGCACAAATCAAGCACAGGAAAATCCTTCCAGGGCTGTGGATGCTTCAGAAGCCTCCTTTAAAATAAATAAATAAACAAATAAAAAGGCCCCAGATTCAAGGAAATGTTTATTGAAGGCAAACCCGAAGGAATCCAAACCCTCTGGCTTTGGGAATCTGGGAGAGCTGAGATAAGGCCCTAAAAACCAATGGATGAGGTGTTAAAATGAAATCTGCATTTCCAGCTTTCCTTGGAGCTTTGTTCCTGTCAAATGCCCAGAGCTGAAATAGGAGCCCTCAAAATAGCACCAACACTTGGGAAAATGTGGGAAAATGTGGGAAAAATCTTGGAATTCGGGGTGGTGCCACCAAGGTGGCAAAGTCTGGGGCTGTTCCCTGTCCCAGGAGCTCTAAAGGTGTTTGCAAACATTGGATTTTTATTCCTGCTTTTTCCAAGCACTGGGAGCGAGGTGTCAGAGCCCCAGGTGAGGTTTGGGGATGCTCTGAGAATCATCCAGGTCATTCCCTGATCCCAACCCTTCTCTGGGTGGCTCCGTTTCCTTCCTGGAGGAGCTCAGAGCATTTTAATCAGTCCCAGGGAGACTCCAGGAGATTCCAGGGCTGGAAAAAGCTTTGGAGATAAAAGTCTCTTCCAAAGGCTAATTAAATTTAATTGGATTAACCCCTTTGGCCCAGGGATCATCTTTTGCTCCCATTTTCTCCAGTTGGTGATTGAGACCTCCCAGGTGCTTCCCGAGGGCAATTCCTGAATTCCTGGTGCTGAGGAGGGTGTGGGAAGGGTTTTCCAGCCCAAGGAAGGGTTTTCCACCCCTGGGAAGGTTTTCCCTGCTGGAAAAGCTCTGGAAGTGTTTAAATTGTGCTGAGCAACAGCAGGACCTGGCAGCGTTCTCTTAAACCAGCATTGCTTGGGGCAGCTCTGGGGGGACAAAAGAATCTGATCTGGAATATGAAATAATCTGTTCTGGAGGAATAAATAATCTGTTCTGGAATATTAAACAATCTGCTCTGGGGGAATAAATAAACAGCTCGGAAAGAGCAAAGAATCTGCTCTGAAGAACAAACAAGCTGCTCTGGAGGAATAAAGAATCTGCTCTGAAGGAGTAAATTATTTTCTCTGATGCAATATCTGATCTGCTCTAGAATATTAAATAATCTACACTGGGGGAGCAAAGAATTTGCTCTGGAGGGACAAAAAAATCTGATTTGGATGAAAAAAAAAAGCTGGTGTGGAATATAAAATAATCTGATCAGGAGGAGTAAATAATTTGCTTTGAAGGAACAAAGAAACAGCTTTGGAGAAGCAAATAAAGAGCTCTGAAGGAATAAAGAATCTGCTCAGGAGGGACAAATGGCCAGCTCTGAATCTGCTCCTGGGGAAGGGCTGAGCTGCTGCCAGGGCTCTGCTGGGCTCCCCTGGAGGAGGCAGAACTGGGAAGGACTCAATGGGCACAAAATGAATCTCTGGGTGTGGGGGGACCCTGCTGGGGACAAAGAGGGACAAGGCAAGGGGCAGGAGGATGGATCTGGGTGTGGGAAAGGCACCCAAATCCTGGGATTCAGCCTTTTTCTCCCGTTGTCCCATCATGGAGTGAGGGAAGCTCATCCTCCTGTGCTTTAGGGACAGCTGGGGACAGTCCCCCGCAGGGGCTGGGGGTGCCTCAGTG